CAAGAGTCAGAGTCGACTCGATGGCAACTGACAACAACAACAAGAGAAATACTTGCTCCTTGGGGGTGCTGGTCTCTTCTAGGGCCTTCAGTCAGATGAACAACTAATATATATTGAGCAGTCTTTGTGTGCAAAACACTTGTCTGAAATCCTCAAGTCTGAGAATGGATGCATTGTGGAGACTTTTTAGGGTGTTAAAGGGAGAAGAAATAGAAATCATATTGTTTGAGGACTCTTCTCTACACCACCCTGCCAGAAGAGCAGAAGAACAGTACTTTGATTTCATTCATTAACTCACCAAGTATTTGTTGAGCTACCTATCCTGTGCTAGGCCCTGGAAGGGAATTTTGAAAAAATACAGTCCTTTATCTCAAAGAGTTGATGACACAAGTGGCAGGCTATATCTTTCTTTCTTTTCTTTAATGCAAATCATAGAACACAGGTAAGCTGCAGGAGTGATTGGCTCCCCAGAAATGGCTCTCTGGAACTCGTCAGAAAGGCTCATGCTGCTAAAAGCAGAGCATCTTATAAAAGTCTTACCCTGCTTGATTGCAGAACCTCTTCTGGTAAATACTGAGAAATCAGGAAGCTGAGAAGGGTGGGAGGAAATTGGAGACAGGCAAATGTTGCCGAGATTTGAGAGAGAGAGAAAGCAGATTCCAAAAATTGCAGATTGGTATGTTTGATGCTGATCTGTAGTCAGATAGGTTTTGAGCCCTTACAAAAATGGCAGGTTGAGGAAGCAAGGAGAGTCCTCTGGACTCAATTCTGACCCTCAGTGGAGAAAAAGAAATGATGAGCTCATTTTGTTCAAAGCCTCCATCTCGAATGACTTCCTTCTGTTTCCTTCCTGACTAATGCCCTGGCTCCGTAGATTTTAACCTTTAGACTCCTTCTCAGTGCACCCTTGAGGTTCCTGGGTGATGCAAATGGTTTGTGCTTGACTACTAACCTAAAGGTTGGAGGTTTGAACCCACCCAGCATTACCACAGAAGAAAGGCCTGGTAATCTGCATCCATAAGATTATAGCCAAGAAAACCCTATGGAGCAGTTCTACTCTGTAACATGGGATCACCATGAGTTGGAATCGACTCGATGTCAGTGGGTTTGGTTTGGTTTTCACTGCAACCCTAGGGCTGGATGCTCAGCCCACTTCTCCACCTTTTGTATCCCTCCTTGCTTGAATTTTGGCCTCCTTCTCCTTACACAGTCATCAGTTACCCTGAGTCAAGACCTCACATCATCCATCCAGAGAACTCACCTCTCTTGCAGGTCTTGGAAGGCAGGACTCCTCCCTACCCAGAGGAGGCAGGACCCACTCACTGATGAGGAAGAAAAGAGGGGTCGCTTTTAAAGAAATTGCACAGGGAACTCAAAGCTAAGCTCAGATTTTCAGAGGACATGAATGGGAAAAACTAAAGAACAAATTATAAGAGGATGGCTTCAGAAATGTTTACCAATGAGATTAATATACATAAAACACTTAGCACAGTGCCTAGAACATAGTAAATATTCAATAAATGTTAGGTAGTATTAATATTTGGAGCCCGGGTGGCACAGTGGTTAAGAGCTCAGCTGTTAACCAAAAGGTTGGCAATTCATATCCACCAGCTGCTCCGTGGAGAACCTGTGGGGCAGCTGTACTCTATCCTATAGGATCTCTGAGTTGGAATCGACTCAAAGGCAATGGGTTTGGTTGGTTTTATTAATATTACTATTACCGAATCCCAGAATGACAAAGGCTTGTAATAAGATGCAAATGTAATAAAACAGCCTTTAAAACCTTTTTTTCTTTTTTTCCTCAGAGCAGAAAAACAGGGAAAAGATAGGCCCACTGTTCAAGACAGATGATGTGATGTTAATAAAAGACTGGGGAAAAAAACTAAAATTGCTTTTCTCCTCATTTTCTTCTATCTCCTTTACTAAATAGAATAACCTTCAAGCTGGAGAGGGTAACAAACATGATTATGGAGTAATTGGGGCCCAAGATAGATGATGCAACATTCAAGGAGAGCCCTTCTGCCTACATGAGCTCAACTCTATTGATTCCAACTAAGTAGATCGGAGAACTTTCCAGTGTGATTGCAGAACCTCTACTGGTAAATATTAAGAAATCAGGAATCTGAGACGGGTGGAAGGAAATTGGAGGTAGGCAAATGTTGCCCAGATTTGAGAGAAAGCAGATTCCAGAAACTCGGATCGGTATGTCCAATGTTGATCTATAGTCAGGCAGGTTTTGAGCCCTTACAAAAATGGTAGGTATTACTAGTGGCTAACGTGGCCCACTAAGGGTACTTAATCCAGTTAACCTCATTTCCTTTGTTGATAGATAGGTACATTGAGGCATGGCATGGGTACTTAATTTTAGCAAAGCACCTGACAGAATCTTTCAGGATTCCTGGTGGCAAGATGAAGAACTAAGGGCAAGATTTAAAGCACAATTAGCCAAACTGGAGGCAGCTGATATCCATATCTAAAGAATCAAACCTGCCTGGCACATAATAGGTGCCCAGTAAATATTTGTTTGATGAATGAATCAGGCTGGAGGGAGGTTTCTGATAGCATGCCCCAGGCTCATTCAATATTTTTTATCATTGATTCCAATGATGACTTATGAGTCATGGTATCAAATCTGCAGAAAGCAGAACTTGGAGGGAGAACTGATACATTCGATGACAAAAACAAAGATTCAAAATGAAGCCAGCAGGTTGGGCCAAAGCCTAGATGAAAAGACAAATGTTAGTCATTCATTAGGTTCCTAAAAGCAGCTAAACTAATGAAGAAGAGAGAGGCCTGGCTTAACTATACCTTATATAAAAGGGAGCTGCAGGTTTGAAGGGATCCCAAGTTCTACTTGGTTCCTTAGTATCAAGTGGCTGCCAAAACACAGCTGCCAACCTAGGCTGCACAGGTGGAAGGAGGAAGGAGAGAAGAGTCCCAGTGCACAATCCTCCAACAATAATATTATTGTTAGCTGTCATTGAGTCAGCTCTGACTCATGGCGACCCCCCATACAACAGAAAGAAACACTGCCTGGTCCTGCACCATCTTCACAATTGTTGGTATGCTCGAGTCCATTGTTGTGACCATTGTGTATTTTCAGTGCCTTCTAACTTAGGGGGCTCATCTTCCAACACAATATCAGACTATATTCTGTTATGATCCATAGGGTTTTTTTTTTCCATTGGCTAATTTTCAGAAGTAGATCCCCAGGCCTTTGAAGTCTGGAAACTCCCCTGAAACCTGTCCACCATGGGTGACCCTGCTGGTCATACCAGTGGCATAGCTTCCAGCATCATAGCAACACACAAGCCACCACAGGAGGACAAACTGACAGACTGGACTGACAGGATTTCTTTTAGGGCTCCCCTCACCGGCTGTGGGTTAGTTGAGATGGAGCAGCAGCACCACCTAGTGGCAACAAGCAGCAGCAAGCCATTTATTGGCCAAATTAGTGTCTGCTCTTAGGGTTGGACACCAGGGAAGTCACCTAGTCTAACCATCCAGTCAATGCCTGCATGTGGCCACAGCATCCTCTGAAAGAAGCCTTCTTGTATGATGCATTGGAATAAAACAAGAGCACGAGAAGAGTGAAAACCAAAACAGGACGAAGTTCTTAGTGGGTTGCCTGTCAGGGATAAGGTGGTAGAAAAACAGTTTAAAGTGTCCCCACCAAATCTACAGAGACAGAAAGTAGATCAGTGGTTGCCTAGGACTGGGGACACAGGGGAATGAGCGGTGATTGCTAAAGGGTAGACTTTCTTTTAGGGGCAAGAATATGGAGAAATTGAAACACTCACACACTGCTGGGAGAAATGAAGAACGGTGCAGCCACTTTGGAAAACAGTTTGGCAGTTGCTCAAACTGTTAAACTTACAGTTACTCTATGACCCAGCAATTCCACTCCTAGGTATATACTCAAGATAATTTAAAAATGCTTACACAAAAATTTGTACATGTATGTGCACAAGCAGCATTATTCGTAATAGTTAAACACAATGAAGGGATAAACAAAATGCGATATATCCTTACAATATTATTCAGCCATAAGAAGGAAGTACTCATACATGTTACATGGATGGACTTTGAAAGTACTCTAAGTGAAAAAGCGAGACACAAGGGCCTCATATTTTATGACTGATTCCATTTATATGAAATGTCTGAAATAGGCAAATCCAGAGAAGTAGGTTAGTGGTTACCAGGGACTAGGGGGAGAAGGGCATGGGAGTGGCTTCTAGTGGGTATAAGGTTTCTTTCTGGGGTGATGAAAATCTTTGAAAATTAGATACTAGTGATAGTTGCACAACTCTGTGAAACTATCAAAAACTACAGAATCATTAAAAAAAAGAAAGGAAAAGGGATGAGGGTGGGACCCAACACTATGCTTTTTAAAGGAGCATCCCAGCTGGTCATATGCAACTGACATATTAGCACTTACCATGGTTGTTCTGTGGGATTAAAAGGTAGAGCAGGAGATTAAATACAGCCCCCAGTTCATCCATAAGTAACGCTGACCAGTTTGTGGCCAGCACTGTTCTTCACACTTGGACACCAAGACATCCCCAGGACAGCAAGAGAAAGGAATGAGACAGTTAATCCTCACAACCCTGAGGAAGGTATTATGATCCCTATTTAACAGTTAAGCAAACTGAGGCACAGAGATTTGGAGGCTACCAGTAACTGGCCTCAGGTCAGCAGCTAGTGAGGGACACAGCCAGGATGTGAACATGACCTTCTGGGACCCAAGTCTTGCTCAAAACCACTATACCCAAGTGCCCCCCACCTACCCCAACTCATGAGATCCATGAAATCCAAAGTTGTAGTGAAAGAAAGACTGAAGTGAAAGTTCCATGAGAAGAACCAGTGAGGGGCCTCTAAAGGCAGCAGGCCACGACAGCATCTATGTGGTTGTCTTCTGTGCAAGTGCCCTGGGAGCTTCCACTAGAAAGTTGGCTAAGATGGAGGGGAGAAGGAAGTAGTTTGAGACATTCAGAAGCATATGGCTGTCCTCTCCTCCTTCCAAAGCAAGTTCTTTATTGCCCAACCAATCAAATGTTTAATGAGGCCCAGCACTGTACCAGGTACACTGTACTAAGCACAATACAAAAGTATACAACACAATCCCTGCCAGTGTGAGGCGTACAATCTAAATATTTCTCAGGAATTACCCCATGGTTACAAATCACATCTGAACTTAGTTGCCTGTATTGTGATGAACGTTCTTTAAAGAAAGACATTACACTCCACTTATCATGGCATAACATTTTTTTCCTAGTAATATCAATTTTACGGTTATCCATAAACAAGGTTTACTTCTGATAAAATTCACCTTCACATTCCCCTCCTCTGTAGTTTAAATAAAGACTTTTTGAAAAAGGAATTTAAAAAGGTTAAACAGTGGAAGTGCTTAGGTACAAATCTGACCACCAAGTGTCTGGGCAAAAGAGGTCTAGCTACTAATTGGCCTTCGCTCATTTTCAGGCCATTCTTATTAACATCTTGAGGACAACACAAAGCACATTATTGCCATCCCCAAGAGGGAGCCACGGAGACTGGTCTAGACTAGAGAGGCATTTTTCATAACAAAATTTAGCACCAACTTGGGGGCAATACCAGGGGTTACTGGGAGTCTCGTCCCCAAAATCTACCCCTTGATTATGGCACAAAGCCTCAGAACTCACAGGTGTGTGTTTATGGGAACAGCAGCTAATCAAAACTCTAAGTTGAACTAAGATTACTGTACATGGTGACGATTCCATCCCAGGAGGGACCCTCCTGTTTTGAGTGTAGCACATTCAGCACAGAGCAGAGAAGTGGGAGCAGCAGCCTCAGGAGCCTGAAACCTGAGATGGTGATGCGAGGACACGAACATGACCCGTCCCCTCACTTCCTTAACAAGACCCTTCGCGCGACTGTGGTGCTCCGGTAAAGAGCCTTAGCCTCACCCTTGGTCACTACCCAAATGGTCTCCACCGTAGAGAGACAAATAAAGGGAGGAACTGGTGTAAGGAAAGGACTGGATAACTTTTAGTGTTATGGAGTACTGTACATAATGAAAAAGATGGCTGATTGCTTTAAATAAAGCATGTTGAGCCAGGAAGTCTGGGCTAAAATATAACTTAAGGGGGAAGTTCATATCTGAACCTCTTCACACCTGCAGCAAGCAAGGACCTTTCCTTTCTTCAGGATCATGTGCTGTAAAGCACTGAAAAGGAGCTGCCAGCTCTGGCAGGGATGGGAAGAATGACAATTCCTTCCTTTTCACCAAAGGAAGCCAAAGTTGAACAGGACTCCGGGTATGCAGAGATGGAAGACACAGGACTGTGACAACCGAACTCGTCTACGCTCCCACTCTCAGCCTCCTTCCGCCTTGAAGACCCCTCTGGCTCTCACGCACAGTAAGCCCTCAGAACTCCAACAACAACTGTGAAATGATCATCAAAGCTATTGAAATGGAAGGTAGCGTTTAAAATGTAACACTGGTTTTTCTTCAGATGTAATACTGGTTTTCTTACAGCATGTATAAGGCACAGTGTGAGAAAGCTGCTCCCACTCCCAGCCACGCACCCACACTTGGCTCCTCACACGCACACATGCACACAGAAGAGGCCAGCGATTTTACCACAATGCACAGGGAATGGATCACTGCCGATCGATCACTTCTGGTTTTTGAGCTGGTTGGAGAGCCAGTCCAGGCCTTCGTAAAGCCCGTCTCCACTGGTGGCACAAGTAGCCTGAATGTACCAGTTTCTCTGGCGAAGGGAATGTAAGCCAAGCTTGTCTGTTATCTCTGCTGCATTCATAGCATTGGGAAGGTCCTTGAAAGAGAACATTCGCAAGTCAGTTTATATTACATCCACATGATGAAATACTATGCTCTTCCCTCAAAGCCTGCCCTAACCCACAGTCTTCCCTATCTCAGCTGACAGCAACTCTATCCCTTCAGTTGCTCAGGCCAAAAACCTTGAAGCCATCTGAATTTCTCTCTCTCAAACCCCAGTTAATCTGTCAGGAACTCCTAATGGCTCCACCTTCAAAACATGTTCAGAGTCTGACCACTTCTCACCACCTCCAAAGCTACCACCCTGATCTGACCCACTGTCACTTCTTGCCTAAAATCACTTCCTAACTGGTCTCCCTGCTCTACTCTTGCTCTCCAAAGTCTCTCCTCAACCCAGCTGTCAGTGAAAGTCAGACTAAGTCATTCTTTTGCCAAAACCCCGTATCAACGCTCCGTCTGTCTCAGGATAAGAGCCAGAGTCCTCCTGATGGTCTGCAGACCTTCACACCCCAAGCCTGTGGCCTCTCTCTCCTCCTCTCCTAACTGCCCTGCTCACCCTTTTTTCTATAGCACTCACCACATTTCACTATATTCCAAAATGTACTTTTTTAGTATGTTTACTATTTCTCTGTCACCCCCAACTAGACTGTAAGCTTTACAAGGGCCAGAATCTTCGTCTCTCTTGTTCTCTGATGTATCCCTAGTGCCTAGAACCATGCCTGGTACATAGTAAACTCAAAGTAAACTTGAACGAACTAGCATTAAAGAACAAGGGGGATCTAGATGTACTGATATGGAAGGCCATCAAAGAGATGCTAAGTGAAAAAGCAAGCTGCAAAACAGAATGTACAATATGATCTCTGGCATTTATATATATGTAGACATAAAAAGTTTTATTTCTGAAAAGAGATACAAGCAATTTAACAATGTTTACCCTGAGGAGTGAGGCTAGAGTATTGCAATTGATATTCTGAACTATGTGCATATTTATACCATGTGCATTTAAAAAACAAATTTGATTTTTTTTTAAAAGTCAGTTATATTCACTAGTGAAACTCCAGACTGACATCTAACATGAACAGTAGGGAAACAGTTGAATGAATGATGAGCCATCTGCCATTCAAAATCATGACAAGAGAAAACACTTTGATGAATCTGAAATGACAAAGCAGGATGCAACATCCTTTAAACAGTATGACCTCCATTATGTAACAAATACAGTCACGCAGGACAGAGTGGAAGGAAACACACCAAAATCCAACAATGGCTGTCTCAGGCTGGTACAATTAATTCCAGGTCTCTACTTCTTTCTCAGGCTTAGTGCAGCCTAGAGCCCTGAGGCCAGGCAGTTCCACGCTCGGCTGGGCAGTTCCACACTCAGCCATACACTTCTATGCTCAGCTCTCCTCCCACTCTTCCTTCCTTTACTGCTTTACATTATATTTATGCAGGGACTCTGTTCCCTCTTCAACAGGCCGTATATGATCCAACTGCACCTCCTCCCTCGGGCCCCCACTTACTATTCTAGCTGTACTTGCTGTTGCTAGAACCATGTAGCTCCCACCCTCACTACCTTCAGGTCTCTGTTCAGACGCCATCTTATCAGAGAGGCAGTCCCAGCCCACCCCCACCCGTCCTGCCCCTTACTCTGCTTTACCTTCCTCCACAACGCTTACCACCCGACACACTACATATTATTTATTGACGGACTCTCCTCCCACTAGACTCGAACTCCATGAACACTGGGATTTTTGTCTGTCTTGCTCACTGCTGTATCACCAACACCTAAAACAATGCCTAGAACTTTGTAGATGCCCAATTAGTATTTACTGAGTGAATAAATGAACATAAGACATATCCTGAAAAGGAGGCTGAGGGAGGTTATGGTGGGGACTGGAGACAGGGAGGCAGACATTAATTTGAATATGTATATTTTTAAGTGAAAGACACCTGGCAGTAAATTTCAGCCCCAATATTCAGAAAGCCAACAACGTACCTGTTTATTTACAAACACCAATAACACTGCATCTCTGAGCTCATCTTCTGCTAACATTCTGGTTAGTTCTTCTCGGGCCTCATTGACCCGCTCTCTGTCATTACTGTCTACCACAAAAATCAGACCTGGAAAGTGATCACAAGCACGTTAGTGATCTGACCCTGGAAAGGGCAGCTGTTTATATGTCCCTACAGCCTCTCCCTGCTTACACGTATGGTTTCGCTGAAAGCAATCAATATGGAAGGATATATAATATCTAGAGTTAGGGAGCCTGTTGTACACTCCACTCACCTTTTTCAAAATGATCACAGCCCTTCACCAGTCTAACAGTACCACAAATACATATAGAAAAAATTAGGCTCTTTTTTAATCAATTTTCACACCAGAGACGACAAGGAGATTTCAAAAAACACACACACAAAGTTTAGTACAATAAATAGCATTTTTTTTGGGGGGTGGGGGCAGGAACAGTACCCAAGAACCCTAAACAGTTTTCAAAACTTAAAAGAATTTTACTCCAAATCAGTCTGTTGCTTCCTACAAAGTCTCCACCTCTGTACTTTAAGACAAAGCATAGCAACCAACTCTTTAAGTTTTATTTTAACCATACCCAAGATGTGACCTTGTCCCTTATGTGTTGACATTATGTTTGAATGAGACTTACCCCACACAAATCTCAAGAGAGCCACGAGTCCAGGATCTGTCAAGGGCCTGTTTCTCTAGGCTATGCCTATTCTCACAGTACAAACGGTTCCCATTTAAGCACTTAACAATGTGCCAGGCACTGAGCTTGGAATGGGACACACATTTTCTCTAACCCCCGCTGAACCCACTGAGGCTGGGAGAGGGGCATCCCACACTACAGCATCAGAGAAATCCCAGGAGTGAGAGCTATCTCAAAGAAGGCGTCATCACATGGCACCTGAGTGAAGGTGGCTGAAACATGCCCAGACCTAGTCACTGCTACACTGGTTGGAGGAAGAGGCAAGGCCAAAAGGATTTCCAGAGGAGGGGCGCAAGAAGTGTCCACCACACTACCCAAGTACAGGATGAGGCAGGCTTACTTGGTAACTGTCCACATGACAATATTGACAAAAAAAACTCGGTATTTAGCTGCCAGGCGCCTTCTGTGAGACAAAAATATGAAATGGCTGCCAAAAGAGCTCATTTGAACCTAGCATCAAACTGACTACACTTTTGAATTAGGGGAATTTTTCTAGTTTAAATGGCTGGGAGAACCTCAGAGTCTGAGAGATTACTTTAAGGATAATTACCTGTAAATTTACACAGGAACGTTATGTTATCATTAGTTTAAAAAGGGGGGGAGGGGGAGAGAAGACAGACATATATCCATATCTGCTTGGATCCGTACCAAGAGAGTGACAGTAGCTCTGTTTCAGGATATGGGTGATAATAAGCCTAGTCTATTCTACATCAGTCAGAACCTCCTAGGAATGTTACATGGTCAGTTCTGGACATCACACTCTTAAGACACAGGTAAACGAGGGATTCAAAAGATGAGTAGGATGGCAAAGGAATTAGATACCACACCATATGAAGAATGACTGATATAACTAGGGATATATATGTATCGATGGGGGGGGGGGCACATTAAAAACTCTACTTTTAAGAAACCAACGGTAAGGAAATAAGGTAATGACTTGGGATATTCACACCCATTCATGCACTCGTATAATAGTTGGGCAGCAGGGAGGGATCTTGGTCACACCAGAGGCCAGGATTTTGGATTTGGGCTTCTGGCCATCTCTGTTCATCTCTTTCCTCTCTACAGACCTGATTTTAGATATTCTGAACAAGTTTACAAGAATCCACTGAATTCAAATCCTTCGAAACTAATGCTTCATCTAAAGTACATATAAATCTCAACTAAAAGATTAAATTCATCGGGATAGCCATTTCCTAACCATTCTGAATTAAGAGGAATTAAAGCCCAAGTAGTTTTTCTAGGAAAACAGGGATCACTTTCTAAAAGAAACTTCCCCAGTAAGTGTAAGAGAACCATAAAGCAGAGCACCATGAGCGCTACTTCAGGCATCCATCTTTAGACACATTTAATACAAACAGTTCCAAGGCTACAGACTTGATTATTTTTACCTTGGGTGTTTTGGAAATAATGTCGCCACAAAGGTCTGATTTTGTCCTGGCCACCGACATCCCAGACTGTGAAGCTGATATTTTTATATTCCACTGTCTCCACATTGAAACCTAAAGTGGGAAGATAGAGGAAATGTTTAATTAAGATTTCTCTGGTTGAATAATTCAAAATAATTTCAACTAACATTTGGCTAGTACTTTTAATTCACAAAGGAGCTTGCTAGTCTAAGATCTATATCTTACAAAACAGAATGTGTTAGACAGCTTACTCTCCCATTCATCGTAAGTGTCTCCAACTTTCTCTCCAATCTTCAACCACACACCTCCGCTCTTACTCTCAGAAGCAGACCTTACAGCTTACTTCTAAGCAAACAGAAGCCACCTGATAGAACTGACTTCCACTTCCACCACACAATGTAGACACCTACCTACATCTACACCCAACGCTTTTCTCCCTCCCTCTTGGGACAACAGAAGGGACATCTATCTAATGACAACTCCTTCCACCTATGGACTGGATCCGAGCTACTCACAAATGTCTAGAACCTTTTACTATCTTCAACCTATCTTTCTCGGCATGCTTAAGTCTCTTCCATATTTTAAAAAAAGTCTCTCTTGATTCATATCCTCACCTGCTACCACCCTGTATTTGCCCCTTGTGAGATAATGAATCACCTTACAGAGAGCAATTTGGTCCCTGGCCTCGGTTCCTTTCAATTTTTGAGTAACTGAGGTGCCTTTTTGTTATTGAGGCGTAAACACTAATGAGTAGGGGTTGGCCAAGCCTGGTCAGCTAACCTCATGAAGGGAGAGGGGCATGATTTAATTAATCATGCATATCCAATAAGTCCTCAATCATGACTGTGTAATGAAGCCAATAAAAGGTCTGGAAACGGAAGGTCCAAGAGCTTCTTGCTTGGTGAGACATCAATGCACGTGAAGGGTAGCACAACCCTTAGGACACGGAAGCTCAGTGTTGAGAACCCTCGCTATGCCTCTTCATTTGTATCCTTTTTGGTTATAATAAATCTGTTAAGTATAGTACTTTCTGTAACTTCTGTGAGTTGTTCCAGTAAATTATCAATCCAAAAGGGGCAATGGGAGCCAGTAGGTGAAAGTAAGGGTGTTGTGTGAACTCCCGAGTTTGTGGCTGGCATCTAGAGGGGATGTGGTCAGCAGGTCAGAAGGCTGGGCTGTTGTGTGTACTCCCCAAACCTGCAAATGGCATTGCCTATTTGGCAGCCGGAGGACAATGTCCTTTTAACTTGTGAGCTCTGACTTAGCTCCGGGTGGCTAGGATTAGAGGGAGATAGTGCCACACGGGAGGCTGGTGCCAGAAGATGATTGAGAAGTGGAAAAGTGGAGATTTAATTAATCCTCATATTCTGAAGACTGGATTTAAGCCTATTTTTATCCTTCTCACACCCCATTAAAGTCAAACTTCTCTAAGAAGCTTAGTTACATTTATTTTTTCCCCTACGATTCTGGGCTCACTCATGTAGCTGCACTCAGCTAGTGAGTCAACTGGAATCTGGGTTGGGCCTCTCTCTCCCAGTGGTCTATCATCCTCAAGGAGCATATGGTAGTGACAATGTTTTCCAGAGGACAAACCCCAAGGCAAAAGTGATTATCAAATCTTTGCTTGAATTATATCTGCACATGTCCCAGTGGCCAAAGCAAGTCACGTGGCTAGCTCAGTGTCGCTGTTGGAGGGGTCTGCACAAGGGAGTAGATACTGGGGGCGTGATTCATTGGGGACCCTTAGTTTTGTTTTTTTTTGTGTGCATTAAAACTCTTTTTTTTAATTGTTGTATTTTAAATGAAGTTTACATTTCAAGTTAGCCTCCCATATAAAATTTTATACATACATTGTTATGTGACCCAAATTGCTCACCCTATTCTGCGACAGCACACTCCTCCTTTCCGCTCCTGATTCCCCATGTCCATTCAACCAGCTCCTAACCCTCTCTGCCTTCCCATCTCACCTCTGGACAGAAGCTGCCCCTTTGGTCTCTTGTATCTATTTGACTAACTAAGAGGCACACTCTTCAGGAGTATCACTTCATGCCCCACAGTCCAGTCCAATCCCTGTCTGAAGAGTTGGTGGGGACCCTTAGTTTAACAATCTGCCACAAGATCTACATTCAATTCATACATCAAATATATACTGGACACGTACCACATGCCAGGCAGTTTGCTAGTCCCTGGGGACAGTGGTAAACAAGACAGATATGGCTCCTGTTCTTGTTTACACTGTTGTGAGAAAGAGACAATGATCAAGCAATTACAAATGTGCTGAGAGTTACTAAGAAGTTCAGGTTGCTATGGGATCTTATAACAGGGGAAAACCAGTCCAAGGGGTCAGGAAACGTTTACCATTTTTGTAAAGTGAGACCAAAAGAACGTGCTGGCATTAGCCAGAGAGGGGAGGGGACCAAGGAAAAAGGCAGGAAAGCATTCCACAGAGAGGAAATGACAGCAAAAGAGGTCTAAACACATTGTCTAATGCAAAGTTATGTGGCAAATAGCATGCACACAATTTTACAAAAATATTCACCAAAATCTTAATAGAAGTGTGATTTTTAATTGCTCAATGTTTTTCTGTATGTATGACATTATAGAAGCACATATTATTTTTATAATCAGAGAAAACCAAATAATCATGATATTTTCATTTGGGATTAATTTTTCTTTTTAATTGTAGGTATTAATACTCTCCATCCGGTCTCCTCCTTCTTCAAACATTGCAATCGCTGAAACTACTGCCCGTGCTGGAAATTGAAAAGCAACACTAGGACTTGATCTTTTGGTTCCCGTGTCTAATTCAACATTCAGAAAACTAATGACATGCACTTGCCATCCTGTGCAGGCTATTCTTGCTCAGGAGTTTGGTTCTAGAAGCAGTTCATAAGGCAAAATTAGGTTCTGTCAAACTGCTTTCGCAAATCCCTTAAATAGCCCACAAAACACGGTACCAGTATGCAGTAAGACTAATGCAGCCAGATTTTCCTCCAGCACTGGAACAAATCAATTTCTTCAGTTGGACACCAGCTTAAGTGAAGATTGGCTTGAGCCAGAGTGGATTAAAAAAAAAAAAAAAATCATCCTGAAACTTTAAACACGAGAATCACAGCTGGTGTGGAAAGATGGATGCTTCCACTGAGCGAGGCCAGCTGGAATAGAGACTAACAGAAGCACCTGCAGATTCCCAGCTCCCACCTCAGGCTTATGCTGGGACACACACTGGCTGAGGAATGGAGGGCACAAATGCCCTTACTTTTTTTGTTAATTTTTTTTTAAATTTTATTGTGGTGTAAGTGCCCTGCTGTTTTAATCATTATTATCTCTTTCTTTTTGCCAAGTAGATATGGTTAAATTTGTTTAACCTAAATGTGTTCATATGACTCCCCTGTATACCTAGCAACGTGCTAGAGATGATGGGGGTAGTTAGGAAAGTATATATAACCTGGTTTCTGTCCTCAAAAAATTTACGCTCTGGGGGTGGACAAGATTTTCAAAAGAGAGTATTCAATAATATAAGAAGCATGTAAGAGTATAACACACTAAGTTGTAATCTGGTCTTGCCATAAGTCCATAACATACCTATTGTAGGGATAGTAGTCACGATCTCTCCCAGCTTCAGTTTATACAGGATGGTGGTTTTTCCAGCTGCATCCAACCCCACCATAAGAATCCGCATCTCTTTTTTCCCAAAAAGGCTTTTAAACAGCTTTTCAAAAACGTTCCCCATTGTAACTGAATTCTGTTACCTAAATGAAAAGGTATATCAAGTAATATATACATAAATACAAGTCTCTGTTAAAGGTTGTTCCTAGTAAAAATTTAAGTACAGTTTGGCTAGTAGAGTAGTGAGCCTTGCTTTCAAAGGCAAATTCAACTAAATCTTTTGAGGCCTTCCAGAAAATTCTCTCTTTCACTGCACTAACCAAGTGGGATATGCGGAAGCACAGCCTCAATGCTCAGCATGACTACCACTACGGTGGCAGGCTTTGGACATCTGAAGTATAGAAGCAACGCCACATCAAATATGGCTACACTTCATTCTAAACTCTCTTCAAATGAGAATTTAGGAAGCAGGGAACCAGTTTGTTTTACATAATATGAAGCAAAGTCCTTCAGGCAGGTTGAAGAACAATATCCCTTAGAAATTCAGGAGTTGCCTTTGGCTAGCAAACAATACCAATATTCAGAAAAGAACCTATGAGGTTTCAGAGATAAGGAAATACAGCATTAGGAAACTGTATTGCTAAGAGAGAAATAAAAAAAATAAATAATAACTAGGCAGAGAACTGAGAAGATACCATAGCGTCCAGTATTCTATTGGACTGACCAGCACCTTATTTGCAACTAGTTCTTTCCAGGGCTTTGAACCAGTTCATTTCAGTTCAAACCTCTGCTGAGAATTTGCATTTCCACCCCAGATACACTGATATACTCCTTAAAATGTAGCTTCTGATTCAGTATATCTGGGGTGGAAATACAAATTCTCAGCAGGGGTTTGAACCGGAATGAACCAGTTGGAAGCCCTGGTTTTTTCACCTTTTCATTGAAGTACAGTTTACATACAGATACAAATACACTCGATAACTGTGAAGTTTGATGAATTGTCATGAACCAAACACACTTGTGTAACCATATTAACAGATGATTACCAGCAATCCAGAAGATCTCCATGCGCCCCACCCAGTCACTACTCCTCCCAAAGGGTAAAGCCTATACTGACTTCTAACACTATAAATGTTCAATAGTTTACTTTTCAGTAGACTGCATAGTGGGATATATAAAGGAAGGCAACAGTAAAGTCATAGAAGCTTTACAGAAATTTAGTCTTTTTCCCCCTAACAGATTACACAATTTGAAGTGTGAAGTTCTAGTTAAAAGTAGTACTGTGCCTACACCTCTAACCAGACTCTTGGAAACTACAGACACAGATTCCTCAAAAGACCACGGTTTTCTTTTTAAATTGCAGACCAACGAAAACTTAACTCTTGAGCAGGCAGGGGGAAGACGCAGCAAGGACAGCCAATCTCTCATTCATCCTGATGCTAGTGACCTCAGAAGGGAAGTCACCAAATTCCAGAGGCCTCACTTCTGAAATCAACAGTTTCCCAAAGCAACTAAACATCATGGACTACATCCAAGCACACATCATTCCATCCTACTTAAGCACAGCATCTATCCTGTACATAAGTGAGGGACTGATAAATGCCGGTGACTATTCATAGAAAGTCCATATAGAAGCTATGTAAAAGTCCAGTGTATGGCAGCACTCGGAATCTTGTGGAGCTACCTAACTCGAGGTTCTTTGTTTCCGAGAAGACAAATCTCAGAGATAAGTGAGGAAAACCATAAGGAATATGCTGGGGGAGGGAAGGTACTTCCCACTTAAATGTCACTTGAGGCAAATACTTGTGCCCGATTACCCACCCCGGCCAAGCACACATAGTGCACCTCCTATGTTCTCCCTCTCGCCTTCTGTTTTCTTCCTCTTCCTACTAATCTGCAACAGGCGCCGCGGTCTCACATCCCTCTGCCGCTGCGGACCACTAGACCTTCACGGCACGGGCACCCTTTCTGCATACAAGCACCAAATGTCCATCAATAAGAAACAGCGGCGAGACCTCAACGGCACGAAGGAGAGCGGGTGGCCAAGGTGAGCGTATGCCACGGACACACGCGCCGGGGTCCCCGGGGAAGGTCTCCGAAGGCCCTTTCTGCCGGGGCCTCAGGAGAGCGGCGAGGCTTCCCGCGGAACCTGCCAAGTCTCTTTCGGTTCTCCGCAGCACCGGCCCTAGAGAGGGCAGAGAACGGACATTGGAGTCCAACCCCCTTCCGCAGGCACCCGCTGACGGGGCGGAAATCCAGCCAGATCCTAAACACCACCGCCCCTTCTCTCCAGCCTGTAACTCACCTGTCCCCTCTCTGAGCACCGATACATTCACCGCTCTCTTTAGGATTTCGGCTCTCCTCAGGAAAATGGCGACGGGCATGAAGGCGGGAACAGCAACCAACCAGTCGCCCACCGCCCCCTAGAGCTTTTGTTCCAATGAGCTTGAAGGTCCGTGAGTGACGACAAATTCTGGCCAATGATAAGGACAATAAGGTAAGGGGTGGAGAAAGGCCCGCCCCTCGCGACCTAGGCGACGGCACGAAGCTCTGGAAATGCCGGGTCTATCTTCCAATGACAGCTCATCGCGTCTCGGCGAACCACGCCTATGTGCCCCGCCCTAAGACCAAGCACGACCAATCAGAAAAGTAAATGATTTTCGTATTGCTCCGCCAATCAACTAGGATAAATCCCAAGGATTGACCTAATCTCCGGAGCATTGGGACCAATCGGATGAGGCATGTGGGCGGGGCCAAATTCATATGTTATTTAAGGAAATTTGCCGCCTTGCAGCTAAAAGTAGAAACTAGTTTGCGGCTGTGTTCTGGGTAGGAGACTTTCAGACACCGGGAGCGAAATTAGGCGTAAGGAAGGTTTCCTCTTCAGTCTGAAAACAGATTCCCGCTCTGCCTCTGAGCAGATTTTCAACAGTTGGGGAAAATACTAGCCACCTGCACTTTTCCTTAAGAGGTCGCAGAACCACAGTCCCCACTTCCTGGGAAGCGCTCTCAAAAAAGCCTAAACTCTAACTTAGCTTAAAAGGTTACAAATGCCTGTAAATAGAACATGACTGAGATAATATGAATAACTAACGTCTATTGACTCCATAAGGGAGCCCTGGTGGTGCAGTGGTTAAGCATTTGGCTGCCAACCAGAAGGTTGGCAGTTCAAATCCACCAGTCTGCTCCTTGGAAACTCTATGGGGCAGTTCTATTCTGTCCTATAGGGTCGCTTTAAGTCACGTCAACGGCAATAGGTATTGACCCCATAATCTGTGCCAGGAACTGTATTAAGGACTTTAACTGCATGATCATAAGGCCCCTTAAATTAGAAACTATTTTTGTCTTCCATTTTACAAAGACTAGTGGCCTGGCAGGGATTAAGTAGTACCTGGGTGGTGCAAACGTTTCAAGCTCGGCTGTTAACGAAAATATTGGCGGCTGGAGTCCGCCCAGAGGTGCCTCAGAAAAAGGCCTGACAACCTACTTCCAAAAAATCAGTCATTAAAAACCCTATGTTTGCCTTCATAAACAATTGCCTCCTTTGCCATGAGACAAGAAGAACTGGATGGTGCCCGGCTACCATTACTGAACATTTTGATCAAAGACTCTATAGAAGAATCCTGATAAAAAGGGGGGAAATGTAGAACAGAACTTCAAATGCTCATGGACTCCAGTCTTTCTGGATGAACCCCCGAAACTATTGTCCTGAGATAATCTTTAAACCTTAAACTAAAATTAACCCCTGAAGTTTTCTTAAAATCAAACAATGGTATAGCTTAACTAGTAAAAAAATGTCTGCCTTGAGCATTATGTTGTTTTAAGAAATACCTATGTGGAGTCAAAGTGACAACAGCAACTCAAAAAATTACATAGGAACCTTAGGGGGCAGTAAGTTTATGTAAATGGGGGAAGAACAACTCAGAAAAGGAGGGTAAGAAAGGTGGCACAACTGGAAGAATGTAATCAATGTCACTGAATTGTACAAGTAGAAATGGTTCAATCAGTGTATGTTTTGCTGTATATTCTCAACAACAAAAGAAATAAAAAAGAAAACCCTGTGGAGCACAGTTCTACTCTGAGACACATGGGGTCACCATGAGTAGGAATTGACTTGACAGCAAGTGGTTAGCAGAGAATAAAGCCTGGTCAAGTCTAACACCTCAATTTTTTAACCAGATACTTCCTCTTCTGGTTAAAGTGGTTGTATATGTGATGATATATATGAGTGTTTTTTCTACATGACTTTTAGAAAATTAAAATACATATTTTTCTGATTGTATAAAAACATTTTACATAGTCATTTTTTAAAGTACATGGGAAAAAAGGCAAGCCCTCTCTCCCGCTAAAGGGAGAGGGAGAGAGAGAGAGAAGAAAATGAAAAAAGAAAGAAAAAGGAAAAGTCACCCAATATCCCACCATCCAGAGGCAATCACTGTTACTGTTTTGTTTTATTTCTTCCCAGTCATTTTTCTATGCATTTTTTATGCATTTTTTACATAGTTCAGATTATGCATACATAGAATTTTGTCTTACCTTTCCCTCTTAACACTTTAATTGGAGCATTTTCCAGGTTTTTATTTTTCTTAAACACCATTTTTGATAGCTGTATGATATTCCGTTATATGGACATCCCTTAATTTATGTAATCATTCTCATGTAGTTTGACTTCTAGATTGTTTCTAAGTTTTTTCTATTATGAATAATATTTCAGTGAACATCTTTTTTGTTTGTTTGTTTTCCTGCGTTTGTTAACTATTTCCTTAGGAAAGCATTCCAAAAGTAGAATCACTGGTTCATAACATGAAAATGTTTAAGGCTCTCGGTATATACGGTATTACATTGCCAAATTGTTTTCCAAGTAGATTCTACAGATTTATGGTCCCATCAACCAAGTGAAGGCTGTCCTTACTTTATCATAATCTTAGCATTTAGTAAGTTTTTTTTTTTTTAAGTGGTATTCAAATCTCTTTTCTTCTTCCTACATTGTACATCTGAATGTTAGGCCTTCATTTTAACTAATCACAATTGCACATTATTAATTAAATCTGACATTTCACGTCATCATACTTTCATCTAAAACCAATGAGAACTCATTTAGAATGTAAGCTACAAGTAAGTTAGAGCAAGATAAAAAAGTTTTTTAAAAAAGTGGGTATTCAGCCATAAAGAGAAATGAAGTTCTGATACATGGCTACAACATGGCTGAGCTTTGAAAACACTATGTTGAGTGAAGTAAGTCAGACACAAAAAGACAAATACTGTATGATCCCACTTACATGGACTATCTAGAATAGGCAAATGTATAGAGATAAAAGTTTTTTTAGTAGTTACTAGGGGCTGGGGGCAGAGGAGAATGAGGGGTTATTGCTTAATGGGTGCTGAGTTTCTTCTGTTTGAGGTGATGAAAACCTTTTAGAAACAGAGAGTGGTGATGGTTGCATAACAGGTTGTTATTTCAGGTGCTGTCATGTAATTAATGCCACTGAATTGTACAATTAGAAACTGTTAAAAGGACAAATTTTTCTTATGTACATTTTACTACACAATCCCATCTTGTGAATACAATCACTAATGAATTTTTTAAGTGAGTTTTTGGATTTTTTGCTAATTTAATAAGCAAAAAAAGTATCTTATGTTGGTTTCATTTTCAGTTTTTGGATTACTTGTGATATTAATTTTTTCCAAATGTTTACTAGTATTTTTGTTTCATCTGCTACAAATTTTCTTGTGTGGCAATTATCACGTCCTTATGCAGAATTGCAAGGCAAAGATGTAAAGTTATTTTGCCAGCAATTAAGAAAGGTTTGTTTGAATGGAGTCATCATAACCTGAAAAAAAGGATGAAATAGCAAAGATAAGATTTTTACCTTCCATGATTTGTGACTACAGAAGGAATGTTGGAGCTGATAATAGTGAGACTTTGTCCCTCCACCCCTCACAACATGAGAATGTGCATTATTTTCCCTAACAATAAAGTGTTCCCAAATAATAATAAATGCCTGTGAATAACACAAAGTCACCTCCCACACAGCACTAAGATTCGAGGGACAATCACTATATGATTACAATCATAAACACGCACACACATTATGTTTTATAATGATATGCACAGGAAATGGAAGAAGGGGGAAAGGCTAGAAGAAAATAGACCTAATTTACTAGTGATCATACTTACTTGGAGCCCTGGTGGTATAGTGGTTAAGTGTTATAGCTGCTAACTGTAAAGGTTGACAGTTCAAATCTACCAGCTGCTCCTTAGAAACCCCATGGGGCAGTTCTACTCTGTCCTATAGGGTTGCTATGAGTCAGAATTGGCTCCACAGCAATGGGATTCTGGGTTTGTATTCATGAGGTGGGATTGTGGGTTTTTTTGTTTTTGTTTTTTAATGTGATAGAAAATGGTGTGCTAATTTTATAATAAGTCCCTAAGTGGCACAAAAGGTTTGTGCTCAACTGCTAACCTAAAGGTTGGCAGTGCAAACTCACCCAAGCCTGTCGATCTGCTATGGAGCAGTTTCACTCTGCAGCACAATTGGAATCTACTCGACCGCAGTTAACAAAAACAACTGTTTTATAATGGAAAACTCAACTTATTTAAAAAGAAAAAATCCAGCCAATTAGGAAAGAGGTTTAGTTGAAATCATGAGGCAATAGCTGTTCAGGGGAAGTTTATCAAGCTCAAATGGTGGTGACTCAATAAACATAAATTGCTGCTGGTAACACTTAGTACTCCTTTTTTTCTTTTCTTAAAGAAAACATTCCTTATCTATATAATGTCATTTGTACAGCATGGAAAGTTCAAAATGCTCTTGGGAGAAGCAGAGATACAATTTCACCCTGAAGTATCTCTTTTTCAGAGAAAGCTCCCGTATCTCTGGGTTAGACTTTAAAAGTGGGTAATGACGTTATAAGTATTAATTATAGTAATGATAAGATTGGTAGTAGTAATCAGTATTTATTGTGTGACTCCTGGGTCAGGTACTTTGTGATGATTAGCTGATCTAATTCTCACGTGCAAACACTGAGGTTTAGAGAGTTTAAATGTCACACAGTAGATCCAGACCACCTTCCCCCAAGTATCACTAATTTTCCTATTCTGGTCAAACGTTTACTCAAGGGATGTCTTCTCCTTCACTTGGAAAGCCCTACTGTACATGTTCCTTGCCCTAAAAACAGCCCACTCTCAGGAGAAACCCTAAAACACATCTTCAGTCTATTTCTCTCAGGAGCACTCCAGAGAACCATCACAAGCAGCCAATATAACCATTTCTAATTAGCTCTGGTGTGTGGGCCTCTAGTGTCTTTAAGGTTCTAGGCAACTCAGCCCTCCCAGGAGACTCTGACTTCCTTTTCTCAAGATGCATAAAAGCTCATCAGACCAAGACCTGAATAACCCCTTTTTAAAGAGATGCAGGCAGCTCTCTGGACCCGCGACGTTAATATGCAGAGTTAGGCCGCCTGGCAAGTGCATTGGGGCTTGTACTAACGGATCGCCTGGTTTCCATAGCAACATTCATTCCCTTCCATGGAGGAGTCTATCATCTCTTCTGCCCACTCAGACTTTCCAGAATGAATTGATTTTCGTGACTATAGGTGTTTGTCCTTGAACCTCCAAAGGAAAAAAACATTCATCAAAACCAGACTGCAGCTAGAATGCTGCATTTCATCAGCTGGTCTGCCTTTTTAAAATTCCGTCACCTTTCTCCATTTTGCTCTGTTCTTTAGCCTTATCCATCATTTTCGGAAATAGGCTTCTCTGACAGAAAACAAACAGATGGCAACTCCGTCATCTTAAAACTGGCTGTGATGGGGTTGCAATAATAAGTATTCAGCAAGGCCCCCTGACAGCCTACGCTTACACTGTATGTGTGGCTGAGCTGTGGGCGAGGATTGGAGGAGCAAGAATAAGGATCCCTGGGCACATGTACCACGTGTCACAATCTCTGCAATTTCACTGTTAGAGATTTGGCATTGCTCTCACCAGCAATGTTCTTTTTAAATTGCATATACGCCTGGGAGGAGTAACACATGAAATCACTAATGCTGGAAGAATTTGGAAAAGAGAGGAAGTGATGCAGAGGGTAGGGTATAAAAGAACTCTGAAGCCCACCTTTGCTTCATGATGGTGCCTTCTGCCAGAGGACCGTCGGGGTCCTTGTCACACACACACACACACAAGCTGCTGCAGGATGCCCTCTGACACTTACAAGGCAGTGTCAAGTCACTGAACAATACTATTCCCTGAAACACCTGCATGCAATCCTGCAGGTAGACCTTTGAAACCCATACCTTGAAGAGACTAGAAACTCCTCTGTCCCCAGCAGCATTTGTTTAATCCTACAGTTTCCACAGACTCCAGGGAGTTTTCCTTCAGTTAATGTGAACATCACCAAAATGTCATGTTGCTTTGTTACATACACTGGGTTACAGTGAATCAGTTCACTGTTATGTTCTTTAATACTGCCCTCACTCCTCAAAACGCAGAAAAAAATGTCTTTTTCCCTAGTGAAATTCTATTAACACAACTGTTACAATCAAAACGTCTATGTAACCAAGAAGTTATTCAGCTCCATTCCCAGTGAGCACTTATTAAGTGATGTTTAGTGGGACATAATCTGAGCATAAAATTATATCTGTGCCATGTCCTCATGTCTTTGGATCAAGCCTCCAACTATAGAAGTCGGTTAGCTGTCAGGAACAACAGGTGATACTAAGTTTCACTATGTTAAAGGCTGGAATCACCTCCATGTCACTGACTGGGTGATATAGGAAACTGGGTCACACAATGGTTGTGTTCAGCAAGAGCTGACCCTGTAAAGCCCCCTGCCTCACTGTTCCTTGAGTCCTGCTTTCTACATCTCATCATCTTTGTTACTCAGTACCCCTTTCCTTTTTGACCCTACCCTTCAGCCCACTGCATCTGCCCCCCCCCCAAAAAAAAAGCCATTCAACTCTTAGAAAATGACGTCATTTACATTTCAGGATGAATTTAAACCATTCTGTTAATTGTCTAACCTATTTTCTCACCGTAAAAACCAAAAAAACCCAAACTCATTGCCATTGAGTTGATTCTGACTCACAGTGACCCTATAGGACAAAGTAAAACTGCCCCATAAGGTTTCCAAGGAGAAGTTGCTTGATTTGAACTGCTGACCTTTTGGTTAGCAGCCGTAGCTCTTAACCACTGCACCACCAGGGCCCCCACTGTAAAAGGAAAGCTTATTAAAAGGATTTCAAGGATCACTGAATAGCTAGGGGAAGTATTTTTTGAAGTAGGGAAGTATGGTGATTAACTCAAAGAAATGAAGACAGAAAGGGGCAACCAGATTTTGCAGAAGACAGAAACCATGTAAACTCCAGGAATCTAGATAACTAGTAGATGGTCTCTTAAGGTGTCACCATTGGGGTAAATCAGCTCTAACCATTTTCTTTTTTCTTTTTCCTCAGGATAGTCAAGATTGCAGTCGCTTGGGAGAGAGCTATTGACTGAGCCTGGGTTCTGTGCTCACATCTGGGTCAGGGGAGGACAGAGTATCTTCTTGTCTGACAACCTTTCTAAGGCTGCATGCACCAGAAGGGGGAATAAATTTGGGGTGGCAAAAGCATTTGTTGTCTATTGACTCTCAACGCACGGATTGCTCAGGTGATGCAGAATCATCTCCACTCACTCAGTTTCTAAGATGACCTTGAATATCAGAGCAAGGCACAGATGGTATGTACAGTCATGTGGACCATCTGGAGCAATGTCTCAGAATCCTTCTCCTCCAGATGGGTGCTAAGCATGTGAAGGACAGGGGCTACGTCTGCTTGTGATTTCTTTGGTAGACTCTTCAGGGCTGTACACACAGTTCTATTTTATTTATACCATTCATGGGAGGATGTAAAGGATTGCTTATCATGGATAAGTAGGGACATAGGCTGACACACGAGGAAGCAAGAGGAGGCCTCTCCAGTAGGCATATTTTCCAAGATGATAAACATTTTTCCTTGGTGGGGAGATGGAAGACATTTCCGCTTGCAACCTAACTTACTTAGAAAAACAAGACAGACAAACTAGTAGTATAAATAAATGTATTTTCATTATTCTCTAGCCTTGAAAATAATGCCAAATCATTGGACTGAGAGCCAATGTCATCTTCTGAATCCTGTAATTATGTGCACAAAATCTCTTCGATTTATAGATTTAAAGGATTGAAAAATGTGAGCCATGAAAACTCATCTAATTATACCTCTAACTTTACAAATAAGAAAACTGAGTTCAGAGAGGTGAAGGGACACAGGTGAAGGGACTGGCAGAGCAAGGACAAGGATAAGATCCTAAGCGTCCTCCTGGCTCCCAAATCCATTCTAACAGCTGTTTTTATAGCTTTTTCAAGTTAATAGATCAAAAGTCAGCAAGTTCCCTATCTTTTCTGGTAACCTCTCTGATCCACCCATGATTTAGTTAACAGCTGATTTGTCCAGCAAAGCACTCTGGTTCTCAGGTTCAGTGTGAAAGTTTATGAAACTGGCATAAATTTTTTCTTCTGTCACTGGCCCATCTTCTGGTCACTTTCTGATTTTATTTGTTCTCAATTTTAAATTGCTAAGCATGCCCAGCTCTTTTGATTCTTACCTTCCTTTCCTCATGTTGAAAAAATCCATTTTTAAAAATTAACTGAGAAACAAAAGATAACAAATCCTACGAGTCCCTATTGTCTTGTGTAAATATGAAGAGAAATATAAAAGGGGCAATAAAATCATCAGAGAAGCCCATTTGGCAGAACTTCCCTTCTAGAAGGGTGCTTGAAGTTAGCTATCCTGAGATTCCAGTAAGGAGATGGTATGGTAGAAAGAAACAACAGAGGAAAAAAGAGCTGAATGAAGGGCATCTTTTATTCAAATTACACCATGTTCAACCAAGTCCACTGTCTAAATGGTGGAACATATTCCACCAAGGTCATTGTCTAGACTGAAACAACACTGGAAAACGAAAAAAGATTATTAAAGATACAAATTATCTTTATAAACACAGACAACTATAGCATATATTTAATAATACATAAAATTTAAAAATATATTTTAAAAAAACCATAAAAATGAGAATTCACTTTCAAATTTGAAAATACAGACTTGAGTTTTCCTGGCCACACACAGGTAGATGTAAATGCCAACTTTTACAGTTTTCCTGGAGGTAGGAAAACACGCCTACCAAAAAAAAAAAAAAAAAAAAACCCCAAGCCCACCGCCGTCGAGTAGATTCCGACTCATAGCGACCCTATAGGACAGAGTAGAACTGCCCCACAGAGTTTCCAAAGAGCACCTGGTGGATTAAAACTGCTGCCCTTTTGGTTAGCAGCCGTAGCTCCTAACCACTCAGCCACCAGGGTTTCCTGAATTCTTGTAGAATTTGAATTCAGAACTATCTTCCTTGGGGGAAAGGCCAATAACCGCTGCTGGGTGCTCTTATGTACATTATCACATTTAAGTGCTTCTGGAAGCATAAAGCTAAATGGTCATGAAAAGGCGAACAGCAACTGGCAAAGAGATAAGCAGGGGCTAAGCGATTAAAAGCATCAAAGGCCTTGCTACAAATCCCAGAGCACAAAGAGCCCTTGAGAAAGTCACTGGTCGTCATGTATTCTTTAGAAATACAAAGCCACAGCACCGACCGACACAAGAACCTTCCATTCAAAATGGCGCCGGGGCTCCACTTCTCTCGCTCCTCCCCCGCCTCCGCCCGCCCCTCGCGTCTGCCGAGTGGGGGCCCCGGGGACGCGACCCGGAGCGCGCGCGGTCTCACGGCGGCTGCGCGGCTGCGCGAGGACGGGCGGCGGTCGCGCGCTCGGTGGGGGACGGTCGCGCGCGCGCGCGCGGTTGGGGCGGGCTCTCCCGAGCGCTGAGCTGCAGTTGCGGAGCCGGACGTGTTGGTGAAGATGGCGGGCCGGGTGAGTGCCGGCCGGAGCCGCGGCTCGAGGCGGGGGCTCTGGGCTCGCGGTCACTCCGAGATCGAGACTTCGCTTTATAGGGAACCGGAAATAAGTCTGAGCAAATGGGGCATTCGATGAAGCGAGAGGCCAGAGAAGGGCTTGAGGGGAAGAATGGGGAGCGGTCGCAGGGGATTAACTCTCCTTAGAAACTCTATCCCCTTTGGGAAGCTCGAGTGGAGGTGACCCCCCCCCTCACCCCTCGAGTCTCCTGTATCTCTCTTAATTCTCAGTTTCTATCCCTAGGGGCTTGTTTCCCTCGTCCCTCACGGCAGCTGCAGGGCTGTGGCGGTTCCAGCCCGGTCTCACGGACTCGGGGGGGTTTCTCCGCACCCCTTGCGAGGACTCGTTAGATGGAGCCGCTGGAATAGCTTTAGAGAGTTGTCTGCTGCGGCCGGGCGAGGGGCTTAGGAAGAGTCATTAGGAACCCGTTTCTGGTTCTTCACAAATGAAGGGGCTTGTGAAAGGAGGAGGGGGTGCAAATGAATGAGTGTTAAACCCCGGCCATCTGGGACCTGTCACTGGCGGGTCAGGCAGGAATGGATTCAGCTTGAGGTGGGGATGGATTTGGGGTGTCTGTCGTGTTTTGTTTTTCTAAATGACAGTCGCTTCCAGTGCAGCAGAATATGCTGTAGTTTCAGGGTTTTAAATTTTACTTCCTCCTTTAGCTTCTAGGATCACCACGTAGGATGGGTTTGGCGAGTGGAGATAGGGCTGATTCTGCGCTGTACTGCGGTGTCCGCTGGGCTAAAAGCTCACTGAGGGATGAATTCTGCCAGAGATTATACTGGCCATAAACCTGGGGACATTAACTGCGTCATTAGGGGCTAAAGTATGTGCTTGATTCATTTATTTATGCCAGAATATTTGAATAAGTTTGCATAGATTAATGCATACATGCAAATGCCTTTAGTTTATGCATACATGCAGATGCCCTATCTAAAGGGAATTGCAGATCATGAAATTCTAGAGTCAGAAGAGACTTTAAAGGTCATTTAGTTTGACAGTTTTCTCGTCCTTTTCACCATAACCTCCCCTTTTATCCAGGAGCCCCGGTGGCACAATGGTTAAGCACTCAGCTGCTAACCAAAAGGTCGGAGGTACAAACCCACCAGCCACTCCAAATGAGAAAGATGTGGCAGTCTGCATCCCTAAAGATTTACAGCCTTGGAAACCTTATGGGGCAGTTCTTCTCTGTCCTGTAGGGTCACTATGAGTCCGAATCGACTCTTGACAGCAGTGGCTTTTGTTTTGTTTGATGAACCTCTTCTGTATATTCACCTCCTCCTTCTAACATACTCAAGCTTCTCCTCTCTTAAAACAAATCCTCCAGCAACCCCCACAGCTATCACCTCTTCCCTTCCATAGCCAGACATCTTGATAGAGTTATCTATATTGTCTCCCATTTGCTTACCACCCACTCACCCCTCAACCCACTGCAGTCTGATTTCTTGCCCTATCATCCCACTGAAATGTGCCCCTAAATTTAACTGACATTTGTCCGTCCTTATAGTTGATGTCTCAGCAACGTTTGACATTGTTGACCATGACCTCCTTCATGGAAAATGCTCTTCTGATGGCTTCTGTGAGGCCTTGCGCCTGTTTTTAGTCATACCTCTCTTTTGCTGACTCACCGTCCTCTACCCTGTTATTTTGGTGGTATTCCTCAAGGCGCTCTTCTCACTCCATTTTCTCAAGCAATCTCTTCCAAGCCCACAGCTTCAACTGCTATCTATATGCCAGTGATGCCCAATATTTTACCCCCAGTCTGGAACTACGTAAGTTCCAGATCATTATGTCAAATGCTTATTTAAAACTAAGGCCCCTCAAACTCAACTTGTTCAAACCTGAACCCGTCATCTTAACCTAGCTAAACTAGTAGTTTTCCTGTGTATCCTATCTCAGTGGAATGGTACCACCATCAGTCCAATTATATAGATTGAAAACCTGAAAGGGTGTGGGACATCATCCTTTTTACCTTTTCTCTCTTACCACATCCCCTGCCCCTCTGCTTGCCAGCAAAATTCATCACTGAGCTGTGGCCTCCCCCCCCCCCCCAACCAAAAAACAAAATAAAACATATAAAGGCCAGAGAATCTGGCTTGGGGCATTGCTGCCTTGAACTTTACTCAAATCACCCATTGGACTGTCACATGAGTCCTGTCATCTTAACCTCCTAAAAATCACTTCATTCTGTCCACTTCTCTACATTATCATTTCTACCTCCTTTGCGCAAACTACTAGCATTTCTGGTCTGGACTACTTGAGGAGGCGCTTAAGTGGTCTCCAACAGCATTCTGGGCCACCTCTAATTTATTCTCCACATTGCAGTCAGATGGATCTTTTTAAAATCCAAATTTGACTGTTCCCCGCCCTGTCCCATTGCTGCTTAAACCCCTCCCTCAGTAGCAGCCCATTGCTTTTGGGAGAAGATCAGTCCTTAATGAGACTTTGAAGGATCTGTTCCTGCTTCTCTCCACTTAACCGCCTTACTCTCTGCACCCTGGTTGTATAAGCTGTTCAATCCCTTGAGTCTGCAGTATTCTCTCTTATCACACAAGGCTTTGCAGGTGCTGTTTTCTTTTTGTGTACTGCTCTTCCCTCACCCATTTAACTCCTACTCAGCTCACTCAGCTACTTACGGGAAGCCTGTTCTAATCCCACGCTGTTAAATCAGGATCCTTTGTTATGTGCTCTTGAAGACCTGTGTTCCCTTCCTTGAGAGACTTTTGTCATTTTAAATTTAGTAGTGTGTGTGATATTTACCTCCACAGCTAGATTTTATCTTCCATGAAAAGCAGAGACCATGTTAGTTCTTTACTTAATATTATCATCTGTGCTTTGCATACTGCCTGGAACCTAGCGCTCAATAAATTTTTGTTGAAAATGAATCTAATCTCTGAATACCCTAGTGATAGAGGATGAATGCATCACCATAAAGCCAGCCCATTCTAGTGTCAGCTCTGTTAGAAGGGTATTTTTTTTTTTCTTTCAGTTTACCTTAGAGGGGCAGTGGTGGTTCAGTGGTAGAATTCTTACCTCCCATACAGGTTCGATCCCATTGTACATGGGGTTGCCATTAGTTGGGGGCCAACTCGATAGCAGCCAACAACAACAGATTTACCTTACCTACAGCTTTTTGGAAATTGAGGTCAAGGTTTAATTTTCTGAAACTACCTTCTACCTTTTGGAAAATCTGAACAACTTTGGCCCATCTCTGGTCATCTATCATTTCTTCTGATAGCCTTAATTTTCTGACGACTACTGATACTCAGCAAATAGAGTTAGCCTGGTTGCAATGCCCTTAAAAATAGGTTCTGTGTTTCCTTTCTGTGGGAGAAAATTTATTTTGAATTAATATTGCTTTTAATTAATTTTGACATTCTGTTGTACATAGCGTCTCTATGAGTTGGAACTGACTCTACAGCACCTAATTGCGAACAATACTGTCATCTTGTAAACGGTATTGTGTTCACTATGTAATTGAAGATTTTCTTTGTTGTGTCACTGATGTTACCATTGATGGCATTAGTAAACTGTATCTTGTCCTTTGCTTTTTCTGGCCGATAAAGAAAGCATCATGTTTAATTCATCTGGGAAATTGGCTGAAGAATAAAATGTGTGATGTTATTCAGTATACAGCATTCAGGTCATCAGAGCCTGATTAATCCCTAAAACGCCTTGCAGTCCCTAACCAGAAAAGTAAAAATTTAAAAGAAAATAATTTTTGTCCTTATTTTTAAGTGTATTTACTGTATGAGAAAAAATATGGAATGGTAAATTGGATACATTTGATAATAAAATGATCAGTTGATTTGAACTTATCTGGTTCCCTGTGGCCTTTCAATTTTAGTTAATATGTTTTCTCAGCTGTTTGTTTGTTTTATTTTTGCTAGTAATAAACTACATCCTAAAGTCGTAGTCTTTGTTACTTACACTGAAATACAGGCCCTTACTTATAAACGAACTCCACGTACAAATGGCTACCACTGCCCCAGGCCTCCATGTCCTCTTTCAGAGCCCTCTTGCTACAGCTGCTCAGGAATCCTGGAATCAGAGGAAAGGAATCTGTGAAATGTAGCAGTAATAGTTTAGGATAGCAGACTCTGGGTACTCCTCTGTTTGGTGTTGCTTTCTAGGCCCCTATCCTACCACCGGAGCCCTGGTGGTGCACTGGTTAAGAACTATGGCTGCTGACCAAAAGGTCAGCAGTTTGAATCCACCAGCTGTTCTTTGGAAATTCTATGGGACAGTTCTACTCTGTCCTGTAGGCTCATTATGAGTCAGAATCGACTCGATGGCAGTGGGTTTGGATCCTAACACTGCTGGAGCCTTGGTGGTGTAGTAATTAAGAGCTCAGCTGCTAACCAAATGTTCGGCAGTTCGAATCCACTAGCCGCTCCTTGGAAACCCTATGGGACAGTTCTACTCTGTCGTATGGTGTCGCTATGAGTCAGAATCGACTTGATGGCAACAGATTTGGTTTTTTTTTTTTTTTTTATTTTACCACCACTACCCCACTTCCAGAAAAAGAGAAGAAAAGAGTGAAAAATCTTCACGCTGCCTGAAATTTTTTGCACTTTATCGTGTTAAATTGCCAGAATTCTCACTGAAGAGTCAGCAGTCCCTTTCTGAAAGTATAAATATATTAACGCAAATGAAACCAGTGGATTGCTTTCTTCCTAAATCCTAACACATAGTTGAGGTACCCTGTTGTGAAGAAATGGGAGTATGATGATGTTAAGTTGGAACCTATGGAAAAATATGGCTTTGGTTATAGAAACAGTGCTGGAGATCGCATGACAGAATTTTGCAAGACCAACGACTTCTTCACTGCAAATACCTTTTTTCAACAACATAAACAGTGAGTATACACGTGGACCTTGCCAGATGGAACGCCCCGGAATCAAGTCAACTACATCTGTAGAAAGACATGATGGAAAAGCTCAATATCATCGGTC